AAAAAAAAAAAAAAAAAAAAAAATAATAATAAAAATGATAAAATAAATAAACTGAAAAAATGCAATTTATTAGTTTATATTATAAGTACCGCCGTATATCTGCTACATTTTTTTCTCTGATCGATACGAAATTTTCTTGGCGAAATGCATTTTTCGATTCGCGTTCATACATACATTGTATTCGTCGGAATAAATCGTCGACAACATTGTCAATAACAACAATAATACGTTGTTGCACCGGTGTAGGTATTTATTTTATGCGCACAAACGCAAACAAACACAAAAATACTGCACTATTGCAGGTAACGCATATGCGCGTACCTCGTCGTTCCGATAAATTAACGGATGTATAACAATATGAAACAATAGTTAAAATACGTTATCGACGTAATTTTTATGTTCTGGTAAAGAGGTACCGTTTTATAACGAAAAACCAATGGGAGAATAAAAAGAGCTGATACTGAGGATGGGAGCGGCCATTGTTGTAGGTGAGAAGTTGGGAAGGTAGGATAAATAAGAGTATTTCATTTATATCTGTAAGCAACGATAAACCATTGCTTGACGAAAGACGATTCCGGGCGCAGTTCGGTAATACATAGTTTGAAGTGTCGTAATTTTTTTGGCGATTTTCAATGAAATTTGATTTCAGAATGCTTATTAAAAAAAAAAAGTCGTTCGATGATTTTGAAAATTTTACCACGTCTAGGTTAATCCGATATAAGTATTATTACCAAGTTTCCGAGTCTTTAAGTGTATTTATAACCGAATTACAGAAAAAAAACTACCAAAAATTAAAATTCCTTTAAAAAGCTCAATTGTGGCGTAAGAAAGTAAATCAAAAACGGTGTCTTGTGATTTTCCGATTAAATCTTTTTTTCTGGTAGAAAACGTCGTCCGTGTTTTAATAAAATAATGAAATCGTGAAATTGTTAGTTTTCCTACGTTCTTTCCCAACTTAAGTGCATTTATTTAAAAAATAGCGTCAAAAATTAAAAAATGACTTCTTCAAAATACAATTTGGACAACTTGGGTTTTCAGAAAACGTGCTACACTTATACACCTGGACAAATTTACTAGGAAAAAACGAGGTTAGAAAAAAAAAAATGAAAGAAAAATAAACAGCACTGTAAAACCAATAGCTCCGTCGCTACGCTCGGAATTTAAAATAGAAAAAACACCAATGGATATCGCACGGTCAGTACAATATAGTGACGCACAACCCTCTCGTATAATAACTGCAAATCGTTCGGGAAATCCGCAATTTAAAAGTTTAAAATAAAAAAGGACGGACGTGCCGCTGTTGTGTGCGGGACGTTGGGACGGTAGGATACAGACGGAATTTAATGTATACCTGTGAGCAACGATATGCCATTGCTAACGAATAAACGATTCTGAGCGGAGTGCAGTTGATGTGTCATATTATTATGGTAAAATTATTACAACAATTTCCATAACAACAATGATTGTTTAAAATAGATTAGAACAATAAAAACTTAATCTTAATAAAAAAATATATAGAAACGGTTGCCAACGCAACCTTATTTTTAATCTTTCGATCTTTTCTAACCTAAAGTACCAGGTTTTTCACATTATCTCGAATATTAATGAACATTTCAAAAAATGACCTTTTCTAAAGTACCGCACAAGGGAACGTTTACTTTCAGAAAAGATGCTACGGCGAAACGGCGTACGCTTTCTGGTAGAACAAAAAAAGTGCTCACATCAAGAAAAAAAAAAAAACACCAATGTAAAACCAATACGTACGTTTCTCGCTCCACTCAGAATCAAAAATCGGTGACGTGTTTGCCGTCCGAATAACAATTTTTCGTGCGGATACACCCGTGCGTCAACGTGTAACGTTAGTCGCGATTCTCATCGCCGTGAATTCCGAGCGTGGCTAGGAATGGATTGATAGCAGTTTGCAATGTTATAGTTACGCGTTTTTTTATTCCCTGTAAACCGACGTAAACGCCTCGTTTACCGGAAATCTCGCTGCTATTATTGACATCGGGGGTGGTTTCTCTTTGTTGGGTGTGCCACGGTTTTTCGGAAATGTTTTTTTTTTTTTTTTTTGTTTTCCCCCGGATCTATAGTGAATATACACGTAAGGTTACAATAAACTACAAAACGTATTGTTCGTCCAATACGTTTTCCGAGCGTCGCCCGGGCCGATAATTTTGTTATGTCGCCCGTATCGCCGGGGTAACACGCGTACAAACCAAAATTAACGATTTGACATTTAGATATTCGTACCGGAAAAAACCACCGCTAATAATTTCCCGTTATCGAACACTAATAAACGTGAGCTCGCGACGATATTGCGCCCGCTACAGTTTTAAGCCCGGGGGCCGATCCCCGGCCTCCCAGAGGGTTAAAATCGAATGTTATGAAATATTGACGTTTTTAACGAATAACAAATAATGTTGCGATTGAAACCGTGTAAACTTCTTCGTTAGAAAAGCACGAAAGTGTGTATTCCTGTTAAATTTCCAAGTATTTCTGTCAAGTCTAACGGTTTTACCACAGAGTACCTACCGAATAAAAATCACGTACGAAACTCGCAACATTAAAATGCCTATAATCGGTTCAAAAATGCCTCAATTTTTTTTTGGAAATTTTACCACGTCTAGAAACGGCAAATATACGTTTTTTGTCCGAATTTCAAGTCTCTACGAATGTTTTTAACTGAATTACAACAAACAACACAATTGATAAAACGTCATCTTATCGGTGTTTGGAAAAAATGCTCTTATCACAACGTACGCAAAATGTCTGTTTACGTTTGTCTAGCAACACACGCACTCGCGCATTTCACATGTATCAAACAAATATTCAAGAAGTATTCAAATACGCATTTTTCAATCTATTCGAACACGTACTCTGAACGAGAAATATGAGGTTTCACTATTATTCGTTGTGCGTGCGCGTGTGTTTTTTTTTTTTTTAAATCTCACATCTACTTTACAACTATAAATCTTGATCCGATTATCGAGTCCAAGGGTGCGTCCAGTATGGAATCGTGTCTAGTCGGTGACGTTGGCGAGATTGTTTTTTTTTAGTTTTTCTTCGCAGTTTTCTTAATAATCGCGGACAGCCGTCGGAAAAATTGGAAAAGTTACGCGATAACGGTTTTTATTGTTTTCGTTTCGGTAATTCGGTTAAATAATCGCGGTGACCTGAAATTACCCGGGACATATTCAACAAATTTATAGTTATTTGAAATGGTCGGTATTTATTTTTTCTTCTACACACTTACAGGTAAAGGTTCGTTCGTTTTGAACAAACGCTCGAAAATTTGAACGATGTTATAATAGTTCACGGGTTTTCTATATAATCGTTTGGAGTTGAAACTTCGGAGCTTTGCGATTCAGAATCGCGTACTTCATTGTCAACGGTTTGCCGTTGCACTTTGCAGGATTTAAAATTCAAATTATGCGACGTACCGAAGCAAATATAAATATTATCTTAACTTTTCAACTTTCCGCCTAGCTACGGACGGGAACGAAATATCATTAGACCACTACAACAGCAGTTGTACGATGACCGCGACATGCCATCGTCCGCCACGGAATCGCCTGGTTTTTTTTTGCTAGGTTTAAGTCGGTAATATTTTTGCGGCTCGGGCGTAAAAATCGTTTTACACACGTTATCTGTGCGTCGTACCTTGTTGTTACTGATCGAAAATAAAAACATCCATCGCACCACGGGCGGGCCGCCATTGTGGGTCGGAAGGCGGAAAGGCGGGAAGGCAGGATACAGGAGCGGGGAGGGATTTAATTTATTTCTGTACGCGACGATTAATCATTGTTAACGAAAAACGATCCTGTGCGGAGCTCGGTCAATGGTGCAATACTTTTTCAACAATGCGCGTTTTCACGACAGCGACGGTTGTTTAGAAAAATATTAAAAGATATAAAATAATAAAAACTTAACAGTAACGAAATAATATAAATATAATACGGCTACCGACGATGACAACCTTATTTTTAATATCTCAATATTTTTTCGACCCGGTTTTTCTCTCGGATACAAGTGAAAGTTAAATAACAAAAAAAAAAAAAAAAAAAAAAAAAAAAAAAAAAAAAAAAAAAAAATGACCCGTTCAATGTACCAACTAGAGTCAAAACGCCAACGTTTCTGGTAGAAAAGTTGTTTACAGACGGGGGAAAAAAAATACACGTGGCGAAATCAACGCATTGCTTGCTTCGCGAACCTGAAAAATACTATTGCACGCACACCGTAATAATGAATAGCGGAGTAAAGAAAACAAAATTTGCCACAAAACGTTTGCAATGTAATTGCTATACATAGAATATCGAAAATTTGAACACCACAGCTGTACAAAATTTAATATTTTTGTAGTATAAATAAATTGTTATAAAATTGAAAAAAATGATTTGCGGTTTCCACGCTGTATTATCATTGATATCATAATCAGTCGTCTAAGCCACGCGTTTTGGAACGGTCATTTGGACCGGTTCCGGTTGTTCCGGTTCCGGTTGCTGTTCGAACGCGGTCTGCTGCGCAGGCGGCGGCGGTGGCGTCACCGTAGTCCTGTCCAGGGTGGCCGCCCGGGCGTATGCGTCGTAATCGAACACGAACTCGTCGCTCTGGCCGCGCGCCCGTACTCCGTCCGTGCTCGGGGCGACCAGGGCCAGCGGGAGCCCGTGCGCTTTGCCGGCCGCCGAGTATTCCCGGACGAAATTGTAGCACATGGTGGACAGCAGTTCGCGCTCGAGCCCGGCCGACGCCGTCCGGTCGCGACCGTATTCCTCGTCCACGTCCCAGCCGTAGCCGTCGGCCACGAACGCGGGCAGTCCGCGGCGCTTCCTGTCCGGGTGGTACCGGCGGCGTTGCGGTATCTGCAACATGCCCGGGACGACGAGCTGCGCTTGTTGTTGCAGTAGTTGCTGCTGCTGCGACTGCTGTACCGGCGGTTGCTGCTGCTGCTGCTGCTGCTGTTGTTGTTGTTGGTGGAACTCGAATAGCGGCGGATAGTCTGCGCGGCGCAGGACCAGCAGCCACGGCATTCGCGACGAGACGGCCGTCAGAAGCACGGGCAACGAGACGTTGATGGCCACCGAATTGGGATAGCCGAGCATCTTGACCGTGTCGGGCGTGACCAGCACCCCGAAGTATTCCGAGTCCTCGTCCGGTTCCCTGGGCGCCTCGGCCGACGGGTTCTGTTGCTGCTGGCCGCCGTAGCTCGGGTACGTCGGCGGCTTCACCTGCTGTATGCCGCCCGTCGTCACGAACGCGTCGTACTGGCCGTCGGCCTTGTCCAGCTCTCTGATTATGAACACCGGGCCCACGTACTCGCCGCCGTGCTGATAGTGATTGCTGCTCGCCGCCGGGACGGGCGCTCTGCTGCTGGCCGCGGGTTTGCTACTGCCGGACGAGAATCCTGAAAACACGGTGATACATTATATTGTCGACGGCGTTTTGTTAAAAAAAAAAAAAAAAAAAAAAAAAAAACAGTTTTTAACGATGTTTATCGGCGGCGAAAACAATAAAACCGCTCGTACGCGGAACACCTTGTACACAATAACGTGTGTACACCGCATTTAACGCGGTACCACGCGTACCCTTTTAACAAGTCAACGTGGACTTAATTGTGTTTTGACGGGGCGCCTGGATACCTTTTTGTCGACGTTACCAACACTCGATTTCCCGTGTTTAAATACGCCTTTTTACCGGTTCGCGCAACTAGTTTTTCCGATTTTTTAAATAATGATAATTGGAAACGAAACCAACGTCGAGCGCGACAGTGTTGCGGGCGGCAAGGCGGAAAGATCGGACGCGGTACTGAATCGTTTTATTCGTAGGTAAAATGTCGTCGACCTTTGCCGACGAAATGCCGTCGGTTAGACGCGTTTTTGAACGTAAAAAACCTTACAAATGAAAACGGCTACATTACGGTCGACTTTTTTTTTTGTCACTACGAAAACGAATCGCCGACTAACCGGAATACATTTTCAAGCATTTCTGCTCGACCAAAACGATTTCGCCCTCATAAAATGCATATAGTTAAAAACTAATAAAAAAAAAAACGTCAAATGCCTATCGGCAATAGTTCGCCATAGTTGACGGGCTGTTTTGAACCCCAAATCGCGTCTAGAAGAGCAAGTGTTCCGTGTGCAAGAGAATATTTTATCCGAACAATAACGGAAAAAAAAAAAAATAATAATAATAATAAAACCAATATCTAATTGGGTGGTTTCGTTACGTAGTTACGTAGTTTCGCATGACGCTATAATACCGTTGTGACGCATTTCGGCCCATTGTTTACGACTCGCAGACACGAAACAAATAATTACATTTGTTTTTTTACGATTATTTTAGGCCCGTGTGTGACGAAAATAACACGAAAACCGTAATGGGTTTATAATGTCGTCGGTTATCAGCTGTATCTCGAAAATGGACGGCCGGCGGGTGGGCAGTCGTTCACCGCGTTCCGACCCGTCGGTGGCGACGTCGACAATTCGTCGTGCGATCGTTTCTCGGTTACCTACCCGGCCAAGCAAAAAGACTTGGGTAAAACGGGAAAACTTACGAATAAACAATGCGTTTATTATTTTCAATTTGGTTTTTTCGTTGTAATTTGTTTAAAAAAAAAAATCTCCGCAGGGACTCGAAATTAGGACAGAAATGTTATATTTGCCTTTTATAGACGCGGTAAAATCTTCAAAACATTCGAGCAATTTTTAAGCTATTTGTGGACATTTTAATTTTGCAAGTATTTATTTATTCGTCAGGTATATTTGGTGGACAAAATTGTTAGATTAAACAGAAATGTTTGGAAATTTAACAGGAATTCCGGACTTGATGACCAATAACGGACAGTTGAGTTTAATGTAATAGTTTTTTTTTTTTTTTTTTAAAGAATTTTAATATCAAATTTTTATCAAAATCGTATATATTACGGCCTATTAAAACATTTATAACCGAACTCAATTCGTCCGCAATGATTTATTGTTACACACAAAAACACATTAAATCCCCCTCTATATTCTACTATCCTATCTTCCCAACTTCTCACCTACACAACATTGACGCAACCGTAGTGCGAAGTATGTCCGGTTTTTTTTTTTTTTTTACGGTTTTTATAGCGACGATAAATTAAAATCTCGCGGATACCTTTTAATCGTACACATTTTTACTAGACGTATACCCATAATTCACTAAGCGTGTTCACCCAATTTTTTCGATTAAATTTCGCATGTAATCAAATTTTGACTTTTGGAATTTTCATGTGTAATTAAAGCCGATGTTTTCGAACATTTAGATTTTCCGTAGCATTTAAGGATTTCCGTCGAACCGCTGACGAGATATTTCACTTTGACGTTTCGATAGGACGATCGTGGTGGAGCACTAATAAAACGACGCACGCCGTGCCGCCACACAAATGACACTTCGTTATGCTCTCCCCCATACCCGAACTTAATAGTGAAATGTCTCGTTATACGGATTGACGGAAATCAAAAATGTCGGCGCCAAAACGTGTTCAAAGTAATATGTATTTAAGGGACTTTCAACATTCCGGGTTCCGATTCGAAAAACCAAAGTCGGCACAACCGCGGGATATTCTTCAAACGTCGCGAAGAATCTGAGCGTTCGGCTACACTCGAAAAAATCCGATGTTCAGAATTCGAACGCGGGCGAAATTCAATCGAGCGAAATGCAGCGAGCACAACCCGCCGGCACCGTCGGTACGCGGTGTTTCTGTCGGCTCGATGTTCGGAAACGCGTAAAAAAATTACCGTTTTGTCGACGGTTCGTTTCGTCGAAACTCGATCGAATTACCGAAAAAAACAAAAATAATAGTGACGGAATACAAATAATACTCGAATACGCGCGTACGCTGTTTACGGCGATAAATTATTATTATTATTATTGTTTCACGCAGACTGGAATAATTCCGGGCCGAAAACCCTTCTCCGGTTACCGGGCGAAGTTTTTTTTCCGCCATTGTAATTGTAACTATAAATTAATTTTTTTTTTATTTTTATTTTTCTCCGAAAGTGGGTCGTTGAAAAGTTTATTATTTTCTGTCATTAAGAATAACATTTCGGTGTTATTAAAATTCTGCGAAACTTTTTCTCCGTCATTATATTATTATTTCGCGGACGCGCGCAAAAAGGAAAAAAACAAAATAAAAAATAATACGAGAAAAACGAAAAAACGAAAAAAAAAAAAAAAAACGAATTATTTCAAATCAATTATCGTTGGGGATTTTTATATGACGCAAGTTTTTATTTTTAATATTAAAAATAAGTCGCCGTTGACTCACCGCAGTGTTATTGTTGCGAACAATGTTATTTTTTTTGTTTTTTTTTTATTTGTTTTCGCTACAAAACAGTTTCGGAAAACGTATACCGTAAAAATTGATACGTCAACACAAACTACGGTTTATACGAAATTTAGATAGGAAAAAAAAAAAAAAAAAAAAAAAAAAAAGAAAGAAACCGGCCGTCACAGTAATACCAACGGGCGGAGCTCCCGGGTTACGCTTTGGCGGTGTTGTTCATAACGTTTGCGTGTCGGTCGCCCAAAACGTATTTAACATTAAACGTTTTTACTTTTTTGACGATCCGTTCAAAGGCATCCGCGACCCGTAAACGGGTCACGTGCCCTAAACGTCCGCTGTCCGAATATGTTTTCGATTCGAGGAAAATCTACAGCCGTTCGTTTATGTATTACGCGCGTTCAAATTAAACGAACGACTATAGCCGAATTCAAAAAATAAATCGTTAAAAAAACGGACACGCGATGAATGGGTGTCACTGTTGTGCGTGAAAAGTCGGGGAGGTGTGCGGGAAATCGAATGGCCCATTGCTGACGAAAACGATTTTGAGCGGAGTTCAGTTAATAGTATCGCTTTCAAACTTTGATGTTAAAATTCTTGTGAAAAAAAAAAAAATCTACATTAACTAAATTTTTTTTTTTTTTTTACTACAAATTACGACTTATAACGAATTTTCTGTTAAATTGTCTAGTATTTTTGTTCGGTCTAACAATTTTATCCATAGATATTATTTACCGAAATTACAAAAATTACGTACAATTAATATGATGTCTATACATTTTTCATAAATTACTAAAATGTGTTGAACATTTCACCACGTTTAGAAAAAGAAAATATAAGTTTTCTGTCCAAAACTTCAAGTCCCTATAAATAATATTTTTAACTGAATCAAAGCGCAAAAAAACAAAAATCAAAAAATTAAAACCATAATGAGTTCCGTAAATTTTCCCGTTTTTAACTAAGGTCAGAATCTAAAACGGAACAGTAACGCCCGTTTCAAAAACGTTAAATAAAATTTAATTCGCACGTAATCGAACGGTATCGAAACTTTTAGTTTTCTGTGGCGCCAATTTCGCCGCGGTACCGTTCGAATGTAAAAAATCGAATAACGATAAAAAAAAAACAAAAACGTTTTTCCAAACATCGTTATATATTAACGTCTTCGTGCAAAATCGCATTCGCCGAAGAAATTTCCAATCGCGTTTATTCTGGTATTATTACGTTTTTACGGATTTTTGATTTATACACGGGGATAATTTCATACCGTATAAAATTGTTTTTTTTTTTAAATCAATCCGTCGGAGCGCACGTACCGCTAGATGGTTCAAACGTAAGTGATTTATGTTTAAAAAAAAAACAAACAAATTTAAATTACCGCTAATCGGGTCGTTTAAAAAGTTTTTAAATTTAAAAATGTAATTAGGCGAAAAAAACAAGACCAAATATATATGTATAGAAAACGCGTGTCGGTGAACGGTGATTGGGGTTTTTTTTTTTTTTTTGCTTAACCGACGCATACGAAGTAGACGGAAATAAAATTTCGAAACAAAATATTCATATCAAATGGTATATACTATAAGTATGAGGGGGAGTGGGGGGGGGGGCGACGAAAATTTTTTCCGTTAGAAATCGGCTGAGAAACTGCGGCTATATTTTTATTTTTGGTTTATTTATTTTCTCTTGACCGACCAACGCGTAAAAATGTCGGCGCTGCAGGTTTCAACACCAACAAACGACGAAACGCAGAATATCGAATGAAATACACGAAACTAATTCATTTTTTGTCATTCATCAACCGCCGTGCGTGCAAAACACGTACACTCGTGTAAACGAAAAGAAACCAAAAACAAAAGAAAAAAAAAGACGGAGGACACGCGAAATAATATTATTGTGAGACGTAGTCGCGCAGTCGGAACTCCCCGGCCCCCTCCCACGTAAACGACCGCCGTTGACAACGGCCCGTCGGGATATGACTGTCGGATATTTACCCGGTATCTTGAAAGCGGAGACGGCCGACTGGTGGACGGCCAACAGGAGAAACAACGTCCAAAAACGGCGGTGATAGAACTCCATCGTGCTGGTCGCGTTCGGGCGGAACGTCCGTCGAGTCATTGGATTCGCCGGACCGGCTCCGCGGGTCTTTTATACCGGATCCGGCGAGTCCCCGGGCCTCCCGAAAACGGCCCCCGTCCAACCGCCTCCGACACCCCGTCCGCCGTCGGCCCCACTCTCATCCACCCTCCCCCCCACACACACACACACACCCTCCCCATCCGTCGAGAAACGTCGCGTTTCCGAACCCGGGACGGTACAATAAGCGCGTTATCGGCGGTTGTCGAGAGACCGGACGGCCGATAAGAAATACCGGACGACCGTCTTCCCGTCCGTCCCGTCTAGACGGCCGTCCCGACGCCCGCCGGCGACACGGGCCCGACGACCGCGCGCTATTAGGTACCGTACGTCATCGCCGCCGTCGGACGTTGTGATGTTTTATTTGTTGTTATTATTTGTTTCATTGCCGTTTCGGCGACACGTTTTTTCAATTTCCCCTATCGATCCCCCGGCGCAACAACCTAACCGGGAACCCGCGGCGCGGCGACAGCGTTCTCGTACCTCGCGGCGCGTCGAAATTCCGACGGCGACCGACGAGGGGCGCGTCGTTTAAAACGCATTCCGCGCCGAGCGCGGTCCCGGCCGATTGCCCGTACGCGCGTCGTACACGACCGGCGACACACAACACGCGACGACGACGACGATAACAATAACAATAATGATAATAATAAAAATACGCTCAGAATTTGAAACGAACGCGACGCGGCCAAGCGAACCGGCACCGCCGACGGGCCCGCGGCTAAGGTGTGCGGGCGGGTTATAGGTAACCATAAGTTTTCACAAAGCCGAAAGCGGTTCCGAACGAAGTTCGGCTATAATTGTTTTAGTCGGGAAGACAGGACGCGGAAGGGAATTTAATTTGTATCCGTACGCAGCTGTATTGCTAAAGAAAAACGATTCGGAGCGAAGTTTATTTTACACACGCACGTACATTTTTCTCGGTGTCTCACAATTATTACGACAACTGCTCGGAAAATAAAAAAACAAACGATCACTTTAATGTGCCGACTAGATCCGAAACGCAACAAAAAAACGTCACTTGTTGTTTTTTTTTTGTTTTTTTTTTTTATCGGAACAAGGTTTCTGGTACAAACGTTTTTACGGACACACGAAAAATAATGTAATTTCGACTTATTACCACGAGGCAAATATCAATGAAATTAAATTTGTTAATTAAAGGATTGAATAATAATAATATTGGAACGTCAAAACGGATATTGTTGTTCAGAATAAACGCAAGGCGTTCGTCGTAGAGCAAATCGATTCGCTTTTCGTGAAGCGGCCGGTAAACGTATCGTTCTGTGGAGCGAACCTAATTACGGGGCGGGTCGTATTGGAGAGCTCAACGGATCTCTGGCCGGCGACGTTCATTCGCGAGGTCCGCCGATCGCAATACTGACCGCCGATAAACCGCCGATTTTCGATGCGGCCGCGTTTAACCGTGTACGGCGTTTTTTTTACAGATGGACGTGTGCTCGCCACTTGTACGGGTGTACAATAGAAAAAAAAAAAAATAAATAAACCCGTCATTTTCGACGCGTTCGTTTGGAATGTACAGCGCACGCGTATTGTGTATTCGAATCGTTCGAACGCGTCGCAATTAATTTTTTTTTTTTTTTTTTTTCCCCATAAACGTTACGGCGTTTCCGAGTCCGCCGCGGCCGGCGACGCGCGTCCGGACAAATCCGTACACGGTGAACACGGTTAGCCGTCGGACCGTCAGCGCTGTCGTCCGTTGCCGCGCGCTATCTCTCGACGCGCGGATAAACTGGAGTCGATGAAGGAAACCCATAGTCGCGGGACAACGGTGTTCCGGTGTCCCGTGCGCGCTGGACGCCGGGCGAATTTACTCGGTGCCGACGGTACACGGTTGCCGTTTGTCAGCCGCGGGAGCTCCGGCGTGCGCCGACGGTCGTGACCGCGCGTCCGTGTCCGCGGTAAATTTATCGCGGCCTCTCTCTCCGTTCGCGCACTGTCCGAACTACACCGGGTCCGCGACGTCGGCGTCCGATTTGTCGTAAACACGGTTTTCCGTTTATTTTCGGATCGCGGACATTAACGGCCTTTCAAAACGCGCGTGACCGAACTCGGCTCGGAATCGTTTCCCGTCGGCGGCGGTTAATATTCGCGCACCGGACGCGTACATTAGATTTCCGCTCTGCCTTCCCGACGCCGTTTGTTTTTTGTTTTTTTTTTTTAATATTTCACGCGACGAAACTTCAAATTCGGCGCACATTCGAGAATCCTCTTTTGTACGGTTTTTCACGTATACACATTTTTAATTATTTCTTTATCTTCCGAAAACCGGCTACCGCGGTAAATCTCGCGTACCCCCGCGCGCAGGGTTTCGCGGCCGAGAACTACAGCAACTTTGGGAAATTCGCACGTGGCTTATGTTTCGGAATGAACTTTTCGCCGCCGAGACCCGAGCGGGGTTCCGTTGAAATTGCCGGCACGCATAATAATTTAGTATTATAACAATAATAACGGTTTTATTCGAAGTAATAATAATTTAATAATTACACTAAACAGGCGCGAGGCGCCGAGAATAAGAGTTTAAAACGCTATTTGCACCGACGATCGTTTCACGGTTCAACTGCACCGAGCCGTAAAAAGTTTGTTTTTCATTATTTTCTTATAAATTATATTTTAGATGGTTTTTTTTTAGTCGCCCGCCGGCTTCCAATAATAATAATAGGAATTTGTCGCGATACACGTGAACAAAAAAAAAAAAAAAGAGAAAGAAAAGTAATATAATTCAACGCAAGTATAAATCATTGGAGTTTATAATATATACGGCTAACTTATATACGCTCAGTTAAAACAACTAAAGTTTTTTAGTCTATGACCAACAATACGATTCCGATGTACGTATCCGGTCAGATTACTTTTGCGACAAAATACTTTTAAACGAACCACGCTTCCTATTTGAGCATTTATTTGTGACGTATTCGTCACGTGTATGCGATTTTCAGTGCACGCACTTACGAGCCCTGCTCATCGCGTGCCCAACTAAGGCGAAATGTTTAAAATCGTTACAGGAGAGCGTTGAAAACGGATTGAACAACAGCCGCGACAACGGAACGTGTACTCGAACCGAACCCGTGTGACTATTTTCGATTCCGAGTGTAGCGAGAGATCTTTTATTGGTTTAACAATTTTTCATCCAGAAATTTTGCTTCAGTAAAAACACGACAGAGGCATTTTTTGCTGCATTTTGGCTCCAGTTGGTACTTTAAAAAAGATATTTCTTTAATATTCATGATAATGAGGAAAACCGGTTCTTTAGGTTATAAAAGTGAATAAAAGATTAATAATATGAATATCATTGGCAATCGTTTTTATTTATTTTGTTATTATTAAATTATTACTGTTGTAACATTTATTAACAACCGTTGTCATCGTGATAACGCGCATTGTTGAAAAAGCAATACTATTGACAGAGAATTATTGTTCGTTGTACAGATAAACTAAATTCCCGTCTATAACCCAGCTTTCAAACTTCTCACCTACAACGGTGGCCACGCCTATTCCCAGTATCAGCTCTTTTTTTTAACTTTAATATATCCTTTTACGTCCGGGAGTCAAAAAAAAGAAAAAAAAAAATGTGTGTTACGAAAAATATACAACCCCTCAACTTAAGTTAGTATAACAATATAACAACATGAACAATTCCCTTTGTGAAGGAATGTGTGCGGGAACCTAAGTAACTGTAGTTCCCTTAGCAACGTATTACTTCGCTTGGCGGAAACTAACGGAATGACTGGTTACCGAATATTCATTCAAACGTTTCGATGTTGAACATTTACAAATAGGAAATCAAATTTCGTACGATTCGTGTCACAAACCGTGAGTTTTTCAATAGGGCTACGAACATTTGAATCAGGCTGATTTTTCTGAAAATTTTCTTTTAGATTCGCTCGCTTTTATTCGTATTTCTGCTTTACATTTTAATATCGAAATACTACGTCTATTGGCAATACAGTTACACTACTAAAACCTTGACCATAGTTGATTTTTTTCATGAAATACTTAACTCCATTATACCATGGTCTACTCGATGTGAAGTCAGTTTCGACGTGCACTATTATCTAACTAACACGCCTGTTTATTTCGCCGTGATAACAATAAATAGTCAACAATTATTAACCGTGGTAAAAATCCCCCATGTCTCACTCACACATCTCAGACGGCCGGACCCCAGTAGATGCGGCCACTGTGACAGTTACAGCGATTACTTTTTTCATTTTATCCGCGACGGCGCAATTATAGCATTTTATTATACTAAATACAAACTAAAAATAATATACTCAAAACCATTCAAATGACTTTACAATAATAAAACTCGTTGATATAAATAAATAAACGTCGAGATCGGGACGCGTGAGATCGGTAATGCGTTTCGTTGTCTGCCACAAGACGTATATTAATGATCGTGTGTTATTTTTTTTCGAACAGGGAGGTATTTTTTACTTGTTTTTCAGTAACCGGCCACGACACACGCGATATTATTACTATTTCTGATCGACATAATATTTCGATCGTTACGTGCCGGACACATGTCGAGTTATTGAGGACGGGTTCGGCCAACGGTCACGCGCGCGGAATCAAATACTAGTTAGTTACTCGAAATATTTCTTATCGCCGTTGATACCACAGAAGTTGTTTTCGTTGTCCACAAAGATATATAACATGACCATAATATTATAACGCTAAGCGCGATAAAAAAAAAAAAAAAATAAATCATTACACATTATACGCATATTGGAAAATGTAACGGTCATGAGATTTTACTTGAATTTGACCCGACTTAGTAGTACCTAGATACTTGAATTACCGAATTAAAGCAGTGTATTTTATAAAAGATATTTCATTTTTCCATACTCCTACCGGCTATCGAGGACTGATCACTCTGTATATTAATCGTATTTTTTTCCGCATGTAGCCGCATGTATATACAATTGTCCTTGCAGAAATCGACAAAACTAAAACCGACGTATT